GTTGTCCCTTAGCTCTTCAGCTCAAGGCGAGCGCTCTACCACTTGAGCTACAGTGCCACTTCCTTGGCCGTTTTTCTTGTGCACATGAAATATATGAAATTTATTTTTCTTGTGAAGTTTTCCTTTGAGTGTTTCAACAAAGAGAAGACATAATTCCTTCCAGATTTACATTGGTTTTATTATATTGCATGTATGTATGAGTGAGACACACACCGAGACACACAGAGAGACAGAAGAGGAGGAAGAGAATAAGGAAGAGAGGAGGAGGAGGAGGAGGAAGAAGAAGAGGGGGAGAAGAAGAAATAGAAGAGGAAGGAAGAGGAGGAGGTGGAGGAGGAGGAGGAGGGAGGAGGAGAAGGGGAAGGAGAAGGGGAGGAGAAGGGGGAGGAGGGGAAGAAGGAGAAGGGGGAGGAGGGGAAGGAGGCAGCTAACATACATAAAATTGAATATTCATTATCATATACCACTGTGCACAATTTAAATTTAGTAGAGTTACATCATAATGTTGGCATAGAGTCACTGAACTAAATAAGTGGTGTTTAATATGGAGCTGATATATATATACACATATATATGTATCATAGCTTATGTATACACACATGTATATATATATGTATGTATATATGTATATAAGTACTTATATATGTATATAAGTACAATAGCATCAGAAAGATCATTTTAAATGAACGTAGGCTTATTATATTTTTTAATTGTGAAAATACCGTACAGAGAGGTTACAATTACATGGGCAAGGTAATGAGTGTGTTTTTTATCAAGCATTGTTGCCTCCTGCTTTGTTTCCCCTTACCACTTCCCATCCCTTTCCATCTACCCCCCCATCCCCCCACCCCCGCGCCAAAGATGTATAGTTCATTTTCGACATAACATCTTGTACATCTCATTGGTGCAATGGGTCTACCTGTATCCCTATTTAAACAATTTGTTTTTTCCCTTCCCCTCCACAAATTATACCAACATCAAATACAGTGAAACAGGGGTTTACCGTGGGGGGAGAGACATAGAAAGCAACAAAGAAATATCTTATAAATATCTTATAAATATGTTAGACACAATGTGGGCTTATTATATTTTTGTGAACACATTCAAATCCATAATTCCATTGTAGAATAACTTTGAATATTAATTCCTTGCCCACAATTCCATTAGTCACAGCTGTTCCTTTCACAAATGCCAAAGCTTTGATGTGGCAGTTCTCATTTTATTCTGTGGAGATCTTTCACCAAAATTTTGGAATGGTTCCTTGAAACCAATTCTGTGAAATAACTTAAAAATTGTTGAACTCTCTTTCTCCTTTACTGTTGCTGAAAATGTATCTGATCATTCCTTCTTTGTATGGTTTATTTGCTTCGATTTTCATCATAAAATGGGTGCCATTTTCAGAGGCTACAAATTAAGAAAATGTTTCACACAGTTTCTATCAATATTATGGATGGTTATATTTAAGGAGTGATGCATTTTGTAAGACTAGTCACTGAGGATTGAATCTACTAGTGACTGAGTGGTAGGGTTTCCTTTTTACTGTCTTATATGTCTTGCATGCAAGCCTTTTGAAAGATACAACTGGACCAGTCTTAAAATTGGACCAACTAAGCTATCAGAATATCTTTCTAAGCACTAAAATTTCTAGCAAATGTACTTGTGAATCATAGAATGTAGCAATGCCTGGATAGTAAAAGAAGTCAGTTCAATAAAAAGAATTGAAATTGAGGTCAACTGTAAATGACAAGTTTGATTATAGAAATAAAGAAAAAATGTGTTAAGTGGTGAATCAGAGGACAAGAATTCAGCTCAATATTTACTAAAGGATGAGTGCAGAAAATGGGGAGCCTGGCTCTTATTGGAACCCTGAAGAGGGAACATTTTAAATGTATTTTAAATACTGATGTACTTATCATGAACACATTTGACTATGAAACAAAAGATGTAGTCTGAGGGAAGATACTGGCAAAAAGCAAGCAGATTATGTATAAATATACCAACAGATCTCCTGTAAGAGAGTCAATGTAACTTGTTTAAGTTGACAAATCAGGAGAGATTTTAAATGTAGAGAAAGCCAGAAGAAATACAGAGCCAGTAAGTATTTCAAGTATTTCTTGTTTCCAGACTGTCAGGATAGGATAGGAGGCCAATTGTCCTAGCTCCAATTTTTTCTTAATGATTTCTTACCACGCTGATGTATCATTTTAATTCAAATTAAGAATTGAATTGCAGGGGCTGGGAAGGGGGCTCAGTGGTAGAGTGCTTGCCTTGCATGCATGAGGCCCTGGGTTCAATTCCTCAGCACCACATAAGCAGAAAAAGCTGGAAGTGGTACTGTGGCTCAAGTGGTAGAGCGCTAGTCTTGAGCTGAAGAGCTGAGGAACAGTGCCCAGGCCAAGTTCAGACCCCATGACAGACCAAAAAAAAAAAGATAAAAAGAATTGAATTGCAAATATTACTCTATAAATAGTAAGTACTGGGTTTTAGCAATATACATTGCTAAAAGGTAGACAAAAACTCAACGAATTATTTAGGGTGCTCTATTATTCTGTGATTTCACTAACTTTATAGCTAAATCAAGAAGTTTCCATACTAGAGAGTAGAGCAATTTTGCCTTGAGAGCCAGACAAATACAGTGATTGAAGCACTGCCATCCAGATCCTGAAAGTATAGACTTTCCCCCTCCCACAGCAGCGGGGAAGGCACCCACTCACACAACACAATGTAGTCTTTTGGCATGAAAGTGACATCTTTTAACTCTATTCTTTATACCTTGGCAGATCTCTTCTTCAGCCTCTTTACTTACTTGGAAGGAAATTGAAAGCATATGTAAATTGCGAGTAATCCTGTCTTATGCTGCTAAAAGAAAAGGAACTGATGTACTCAAAAGGCAAACACTAGCTATTTCCATGAAAATCAATGCATTTACATGTAAGGATTTTTCATTGGTACATTTTTATTTGGTCCTACTATTTCTATGTTCTTCCTCAAATATCTTTGTTTTTCATGCATCTGTGTTACTAAGACACTCGTCTCATTTTCTGTTTCTTTCTTCTTAAGTGTATTAGACTCTGCATAGGATTTAAATGTGCCGAAGCGTTTAATCTGATCAGGAAATCTTGTTTGCTCATTCTCTTTCCATTTATGTGAAGTGTCCCTCTCAATCTAGACAATCTACCAACACGCTCAATAACAAACAGCTTGTATGTCATTTTTAATACAATCGAAATGCCTGAAAATGGAATATACAACAGAGCCCTTGCCCTATAGAAACAAATCCTGGCACCATAACCTACACGATGGATAACTTTACAGATGGATTTGGCAAAAAGAAAAAAAAAAAGCTGAAATCAGTCCTGTCTGTGATTTTACTGTTCTGATCTTTTTTTCCAGGATACTTGTTTTTTATTCCAAACTATAGGAGAAAAATCCTAGCTGCATCCTGCACATGCAGTCTTAATTTCCCTTGAACGGTTTTGCTTATGATTTTTGGAGGAATCTAAGCACAGACACACAATTGCCAAATTTCAGGATTTCTTTTGGGCCCCTTACATGTTCTAACTTATTGAATCCTCACTACACAGTCAGTCCCTATTTTGGAGATGAGGAGAAACTGAGGTAGTTAGACTTTGAAGACTCTAGCCAGGACCATATGGATGCTGTGTGTAGAGGCTGAGATTTAAGCATAGCTACTTTAGCTTTAGAGTTGTTTGTAACCACTATACGGTGTTATTCCTTTAAAAAAAAAGAGCATATTCCTGTCAGTTTGAAGTTCCTATAATTTCTAAAATGTCCTTATGGATTCTAGCCTTTAAACCTTGCCTAGAATATTTTCCCAAACTTGTATTGTTTTGGCCTTTTTTTTAGTCTACAATATCTATCCTATCACTGAGATTACCACTCATTCTGTACTTGAAAAGTTCTCATGATGAACAATTGAAGTGACAAGAAAAAAAATGTGGTGACAAAAGTAAATGCTGGACAACTCTGAAAACCATAATCGTTCCCCTTTATCTATGATGGATACATTCCAGTATCCCCAGTGGATCCCCCAGACCCCAGAGAGGGATATGGATAGTGAGTTTTTCTTATTAATATCCACCTATAATAAAGTTTAACTTATAAACTAGGTACAATTCATAACAACCACTATGAATACTACAGAACAGATTTAGCAATATACTTCAATAAAAGTTATGGGAATGTGGTATTTTCCCCCAAAGTCTATTATTGTAATATACTCTCTGTTCTTGTGAAAGTTTTGAAAAGTTTGCCATGCCTATGTGGACTGATATGAAGTGAGGTGAATGTGGGTATTTGACGTAGTGCGTGTCTATTGTGGAAAGGTCACCAGAACACAAACACAACAGATCTGCTAACTCAGAGGGTGATTGAGTGGCTAATAGGCAGGTAAGGAACACATGGTGATGCATACTCTAGACAAGACGACTTATGTTCCAGGTGAGATGCAGCAGGAAAATGGACATTTTGTCATGATAATCAGAATGGCACACCACTTGAAATGTATTTTTTTATTTTATTTCTACAGAATTCTATATTTTTAGTCCATGGCTGACCAGGTATACTCAAACTAATACCACTTCTTCAATTCTTCTATGTCTTTATTCCTATTCCTTCTTCCTCACTGCAGTAATATTTTTGATACTTTGTTTGCACAGGCAAATTTGGGACATACACAAATATGTCAGCCTTTTATTGTGTCATAATGTAGAGGGATCGTTTGAATATTAGTCGTGAAAGAGACAAAAATAACTACCTTTGAGTTGATAGACTATCTTAACTCTGTGTCTGTTAAAGAAAAGCAAATGGATAAAATAGCAGTAGCATCTGTGAATAGAAAAAAATAAGCTGCACACATGAAAATGGTGGCCAAGAGCAGCTAGGAATATGCTTTTCATCCTAACACTATAAAAGGTGATCAAATTTCATATCAGAAACATTAACTCTTAAGCCAGTTTTGGATTTAAGCAGAGATATGTTTAAATGATGACAGCTTGAAGAAGCTTGAAGCATGCCATGAAGTCCATTGGGATTGGTGATTTGATTTCATTTCCATCCAGACGAAGGTAGCTCAGTTGAGGTCCATAAATGAAGGCATCTTGATCTGCACGCAGTATGGTAGGGCATATTACAGAGACGTTCACACCTATGGAGACAAAGACCATGAATGAATGGATGAAAACACTAGAAGCACTGGAGACTGAAGACCAAGAAGTTATTGTAGTGGTCCAATGGGAGGACCTTCTGACCTGATATAAGAAACTGGTACAAATGTGTGATTACTCATATATATTTTATATGAATAGTAAATATGCATAATGCATATTTATATGATTGACATTTTATTTTATATTTTAGCTGATTATTCACACACTCTCACACACACACATATTATAGAAATAGCCCTGAAAAAGAGCAATCCAGGTGTGGTCAACTTTTCTCATTCTATAGTCTGCTATACTTACTAAAGGACACTAAAAATAAAATACTATAATGAGCTGTGATCGAGACAAAAGCTTTTCAGTATAATTTTTTGGCTAAGCTTTCAGGTGAGATAAAGAATGTTTATATTATCATAGGATGACAACTGTCATATTCAGGGGAATTAAGGTGGAGTTCAGACCTGATCCTGAAAAAAATGAGTAGTAAATGGGTGAGTGGAAAGCATGGATGGAAAGCCTTATGGCTTAGTGAGTGGAAAGTCAGTGTAAATTACCTTCACAAATGCAAAACAGAGTGTGGTGACAATTAATAAAAAGTGCAATTGCTGTAACTTTGCATATTGATTTCTAAAACAACCTTAAGTCTTCACATTTAAGTACATGTAATTCAGAACAAAACACTTGACAAGAATTGAGTTACCAAAGACACAAGCCAGGAAATATCCCATCAACACTTTCACCCAGTTAGCATTGGAGAAATTGTGCACCTGCCTTGGATCAGAGCCTTTGGCACCAATGATTACACTAGATTTAAATTTTTAGAGCATCCTCAAGAGAGAAGGTGCAATCAACTTCTACAAATTAGAGGGGTGTGTAACAATTGATCTAAAATATAAATCTATGCATTCTGCTGCCATTATGGAATGATTTTGAGCAAGGACTCTCTCCTGATTAAAACTCCCAACACTTGAGCAGTCTCTTTCTTCTGTGTCTTCATAATGCAGAGAGATTTGTGATTATATGTGATTTATGATTGGTTCTGCCCACTTGGGCATTGTGGAAACAACATCAAGCCCAGTTTTTCTGATGCTACCTAGAATCCATTGCTTAGCTGAGAAAATTTGTTCCCTTCAGTGTTGTGATTCATATCCTATCCCCCTCATTCCTAATAACACATAACTGAATGAAAAATATGAGAAACCAAAGTTCTAAATTTAATTATATATTCATAAATTGTAGTACTTCTCAGAAAATGTTGTGAACTTCCTTGAATAGATACATTTTTCATCACTATTTGTGTTCCTTCTGATGTTTGGAAATAGATCTTTTTATAATACTGCATGAGAAATTTACTGGTAAATTTTGAGGACTTTTTATATGAGTTACATTTCTTGGAAACTATATTATTAACAACTATTTGGCTTTTACTACTCTGTTCTTTGGCAAATATCCTCATCTCACTGAACTTCAGTTTTTCCTTTTATAGAATTTCTAATTTTATCCCATTTTTTAAACTTTAGTTGTTCACCAGTTGTGAACCAAGAGATTAATACCAATGGGTATTAAAGATAAACAAAATTGCTTGCCTCATCCCAGACCTCTAAATCAGCATCACTTGGAGTAGAACCTAGAAACCTCTTTTACAAAGCAATCTAAGGGATTCTGATGCTGACCAAGTTATGAAAACAACTGGGAAATAGAAATGTCTGAGCAAACCCTCTTAAACAAACCTTTCCAAAATGTGGGTAGAGAAAATATAGTATGCACTACTACTTAACTGTGCTTTGAATAAAATGGAGCCTCATTCTTAAACATACTCATTTTCAAATTCTCAGGCTGATAACTCCAGTTCACAGTATATATGATCACCTGAAAGCAACATCCCACACTATTTGAAAATAAAGAATGAACATAAAATCACAGAACTTTTGAGAAGAAAATTGCACCCTTATATCAGTCTTAGGTATTATATTATTTGGCTCAGCTAAAGATATTCATCTGCTAACCCTGTTTTTCCTGCTACATCTTTTGTTTTTGACTACAGGTTTAAACTATGTGTCCTCATTATGGAAAAATAACCACAGTGATGGTAGCCATTTAATTCCTGGATTGTATGCTTAAGTATCTGGTTACCAGAAAGCAAAAAGAGAAAAAAATTGAGTATAGGAACCGTTCCCAGTAGAAAAACAATAAATAATATTTTCATGTGATCTTTTGCTCTAATGATACATTGGAGCATAAATTATTAGGAGTACAATCTTCTCACATATCTTCAAACCCTTTGATTGAATCTAATTTAGAAATTTACTTCCAAGTGGTGTTCAGGAGAAATCTCTGTAAGGTTGTCTTCCTAAAGGGGCTGTGGTTGAAGATAAACAGATAGCTGCTAGGCTATCTGTATCCCCATGTCTGAATTGAGATGTTGCCCATATTTATACCAGATGCACTTGACATGGGCCGAATGGTGAAGAAAGAGGTCAGGTGTCTTTCTTTTGTGCACAGCCTCTGCTGTCTGTAACCACTTCTTTCCTTGATGGCATCTTTACCTCCAGGACTTCATACACATTCCCTGCGTCCTTACCAAAAACTGCTTGCAGGAAAGGAGAGGCTTGCGAGGTTGCTGCTAAGCTATCATGTCTAGGAAAATTGACGTTCATTTCAATTAAGGAAAGTCTTAAGTGGAAGTAATTGGCTCTCAAGATGTCACGGTCAGAGTAGCGGTCAGTATCACTTGAGAAGGATGAAAATTCTGACATCCTTTCCCCAGACCTCTCAGTCAGAAACTCAGAGGGTGCAGACATCACCCTGCACACTTAGAACTTTGAGAAACACACACTACTTTGAAGTTGAAGCAGATACTCTGTAGAGTTCCAGTCATCCATTGTTCTATATCTTTTAGGATTTTATGGCTTTGCTATTGACTCTGAAATCATATTCCATCTTTTTACTCTTCATGAGGTTATTTTTGTCCTGCTTACTTTCTTAAATAAACCTAGCCCCAGGTATACCTATATGGTGAAACATGCCTATAATTACAATACTTCAGAGGCTGAAGGGAGTAGGCTGATCATGAGTTTAAGGTCAGTCTACCCTCAGAGGCAGAGATTTTAGAATCTCTAAGAGTAAAAGAAGATGGAAACAGTTCAGCTCTACCATAGATAATAGTGCTCTTGGGATTACAAAGGTCTTCTTCGCTATCTTGAATTTGGAGAATTGGACATCCTGGTTCATTGAAACAGACAGAATGTAGTCATTAAAATTGAAAATGCATTAGAATTTTAGCTGATGGTCTACCATTTGAGCACCCCTCCAGCCTTGTTCTTTGCTGGTTATTTTTCTAGTGAACCTTTCTGATGTAAATGGCCTCAAGACATGATCCTCTGGATCTCAGCCTTTTGATTAGCCAGGATGGCAGAAGTGAGCCACCAATGCCTGACTACGATTGCTACTACTAAAGAGGATGCATTTTAATCATGGACAACCCCCCCCATTATCACTTACTTTTAATTTTGTTGTGATCCAGGTGAAGGTGTTGCAAGTGAGCATTGATTCTGGGAAACTTCGTGAGTCGATTGTAAGACAGTTGAAGATCTAAAATAGATGTTACATCGAAGCCACTTGATGGGAGACCTGCATCTGATAGTTTATTGTGGTTGAGTCTCAGGAAGGCCACTTTGGGGATCACATTGAAATAATTCTCTGGAATTCCTTCAATGGAATTGTTGTCCAGAAACAGCTGCATGGTGTTGGCTGGTAACCTTGGAGGCATGTTCCTCAGGGCATTCTTGGCCATATTCAGCTGCATGAGGTTCTTAAGTCCCTTGAAGGTATCTCTTTGAAAGGCATTGTCAAATAGTTTATTGTGCTGTAGATCTAGAAGGGTCAGGTTTTCTAGATTGCTGAAGGTCCCTTGAGGAATTCTGGATACCTTGTTTCTAGCTAGTTGTAACTGTTCTAAACTCCTTGGTAGAGGAGAAGGTACCTCCTCTAGTTCATTATCTTCCAGAAATAAGAAAAGCAGCTTCTTCAGCTGGCTCAGGGCCCCCTTTTCTATTCCATAGTTGGTTATTTTGTTTTTGTTCAAGTTTATCCATCTCAGTTGGGTGGCATTCTCAAAAGGCTTCTCAGGGATGGTTTCTATCAGGTTGTTTTCAAGGTAGAGGTACCTGATCCTTGAAGGGATTGCAGGAATTTCTTTGAGACCTCGATTTTCACAGTATAAAGCAGTAGGGAAACTAGGTGGACAGAAACATTCCATGGGGCAATCAAAGTCATCCACAGTCCAGTCCTCTAGCTCTTGTACCTCATAGGCCTGTCTCATGCTTTGAGTCCACACAGTGTCTGTTATGAACAACACCCCAATGAGGAAACAAATTGTGGTTGCCATGCTGTTAACCTATGGAATAAGAAGCACATCTATTAGCTATTTATGGTTCTTGAACTTTAGATAACTGCATATATCAACAATGCTTGTAAATATTGCTTCTCCAGGAAAGAGATGACAACATCAACAATTCTGGGTTGGGAGTGAGGCTCAAGTGGCTAGAAAGTGTGAGGCCATGAGTTCAAGCCCAGTGTCATCAAATATTAATTTTATATATTAATAAATGATAATGTTTTATTCTTAGATGTAAATCATTAAATTTACTGTAAAGAAGTTTAACTTTAAATGCATTGAATTTATTAATATTATGAAAACTTATGTAGGCTTATTTGTGAATACACTTATTTAGTGTGACAAACAAGGCATTTTGCAAGCACTGAAAAGAAGTTACCAACTTGTAGCTTCCTGGTTTTAATCCAGTCACAATGAAAACTGAGAAGTGGAAAGCAAATTTTAGCAGTCCTAAATACTTTTCCATGGCAAGCTACTTAATTCAAGGAACTTAACTGAAACCAGTAGTTAAATATAAAAGTACCAAATGTGATCATTTACTATAATTCAAGCTGTGCATTTGTATTGTTCTAAAGGTAGACATATGTTTTTGCTTTTACTTTTACTATGAAATGAGTACATCTGTAAGAGATTTCCCAGGTTTGCTGGCTCTTGAACCAAAGAAATAAACAGATCAAAGAATACTTTAGCAGTTCCTTGTGAAAGAAGGCTGCAGAATCTGAAGAAATATATTATTACTCTTTTGTGGTTGCAGAACTTCACAGGTAAGTTTTATTTTGTGAAGGAAAACATTTCTATAATTTTAAGAATATAATCAAGGTGTCCAACCAAGAAACTGAATTAGAAACTCTCATATATAATCATTCTCTCATATACATAATTTATGTAATGTACCTCTTGTATAGTCACTTTTTAAACATGTAGACACACATATATACCTATATATAGACTATTATATTGAGTTGAACATAGCAGTAATGTAATTTCTATATATTTATAATATATACATATGAATATATGTATTCAACTATGTAGTTGTTATGCTTGGTAAAACACAAAGGAAAAATCATGTTTAGAATATAGGTAGAGAATTAACTGATATTCATATCTTTGGTATAGATAATAATAGACCAGGTTAATATTTTCAAATATGTGGTACATTCAGAAGAATATTTTCTACTAATTACATCAGAAATTTATGGTCATAAAGAACTCTTAACAGGAAAATATGCAGATACATACATGTGTATACATTCATATATACACCAATATACATACATATATATGAATAGACAAACATGTAAAACATTAACCATTTAAAACATTAAACATTCACTTAGAAAATGCATATGTTTCATATACATATATAAAAATAACATTTTGATCAATGTTCACTTAAATGAGTTGATAAAGACAGAATGAGTCGTACTGATTATATGAGAAAAAGATAATGTCAATAATTTATGACCCTTCAATTTTGCCATTAATTTGTAAAAATGACAAGTGCAGAGCTGCTTCTGCAAGGTGTGGAACTTCCTGCAGTTTAGAATGCTATTCTGGCCTCATTCCAACAGATCCACATTAATTTTTGTTTTTCTAGAACAGGGAATTTTTTAGATATTGAACTTGTAACTCTATAGCTGATGAATCAGAATTGTGAATTCTTAAAATTTTTTAAATGTAAAATTATTTACCTTGACTTCCAGGAATACACTGTCGAGTCTGGTATCTGAGTCTGCAGTTGGCTAAAAATCAGTTGAGGAAAAATTACGTGACTAAAAAAAAAATTGTTGGACTTTATACTGTCAGGTCTCCTATGAGAAACAGTAAAACCTACTATGTCCAGTCACCATGAACACCTTTTGATGCATTGTTTCCAGTTTGACAAGACTTCACTAGAAGGCTTACCTCAGCCTTCTTGGAACGTCTTCGTCCTTTTCTATTGGTCACTGCTTGTTCATAGAAATGGATTGACCCAGTCTCAGCTGCCTGGTTTTATGAGTTCTCCGTTAAACATATGTACCAGTGGCTCCAACCTTAACCCCTCAAACAACCACAGACTTTCAATAGTTGCAAAAGAAATTCTTATTTTCATTTAAGAAACTTACTACAGAATTCAGGGCAATTTTGCTTTTAATTCACAGCTCCAAAGTTGTAATATGCTGATTGATAGATAAAACTGATTCCCCTCTGCTCCCCTCTCCTCCTCCCTCCTCCTCCCCCCAACAACTGTAGGGATGTCTTAATTTTAACATATTTTCCTCTAGATGTACTTAAGAAAACTAATGAGATACAAAGAAATAATATCAATATTCTATGTGTATGTGGACATTATTTATTCATTTATGATATAAAACAGATGTCAGAAAGTCTTTGATGAAAGGAAAACGGCAAAAGAGGCAAATATACTTAAAAAGTTTAAAAATGGGAAGCTATGCCTGATTTTGGCAGTAAGTAAGTAAGCAAGTTTTGTATCTTTCTCCCTCTATTAACAATATATGGAGAATAATTATTAAAATGAGATGAGTCTGCTCATTATAACATAACACATGTTTTGTATTTAGTGCTTTATAATACATTCTGTTGTGCTGCTATTTTCTTAAATGCAAATCTTCCATTTCTTCTATTCAATAAAAAGCATGTCTTTGAGAAAATACACAAATAAAAATATCTTTTTTTCTCAGATAATATTTTGGTAATTGATTGTAAAAAAAAAAAAAACATCCTTCTGCGTGCCAATGGCTTATGCCTGTAATCCTAGCTGCTGAGAAGGCTCAGATTTTAGGATTGGAGTCTGAGGCTAGCTCCAGCAGGTAAATCTATGAGACTCTTCATTCCAATTAACTACCAAACAGCTGAAAGTGGAGCTATGGCTCAAGTGGTAAAGTGCTAACCAGAACACTAACCAGCGGACAGTGTCCACTCTCTGCCCTGGGACTCACACACACACACACACACACACACACACACACACACACACACACGCACGCACACACACACACACACACACACACACACACCACATAAATGCATTATATTCTGAGTCACCACTGCTAATGTGAGCAGAATCACAATGAGAACAGGGAAGAGAAGAGAGCCCTGCCTTGAAAGTCTTGTTTATGAGCCAGCTTCTTTCTTCCATTTATCCTTACACCTGTCAACTAGAACTTTAATGTTATCATCTTAGAACAATAATGGACTCCTCACAGGGTCAGCCCTATTTCTCATACATAGAGGCGATTTTTTAACCTTTTTAAAAAGTATGATTACCACGTGCTTAACTGAAAATGCATCTGTGTTATTAAAGGGCTTTTGTTGACTATGCTGAATCAAACATCTCTGTTAAGTCCTATAGTATACTCATCCTATGTTAGGAAATTAATCAAGTGTTATTTATAGTCTCATAATAGTGATATCTTCTCTACACTGAATACTTGTTTCCTTTCCTCTTTGTTTTGTGTTTCTAAGCTCTCGGTATATAAAAAACAGATGGTGCTTGTATCTGCATACGCAGCCTCTACTTTAGCTCTTAATTTTCATTTTTAGCCAAAGTGATTTCAATCATTTCTTAATAACTCATTTTATGACACAAATGAGGCCACATGATCATGGTAAGAAAACTCCAGTCTGTTTTCCATTCCATTTGTGGTCTACTCACCAATGTACAACTTCTACATTTTATACATATACACTCTTCATATACACTTTACTCCTGAAATCTTTTAGTGTTTAGCTTACTTGGCCTATAACCTTTGAGAATAGTGAGCTTCAATTTATATAATTTGTATAAATTATATATAAATGTATATCTATATAGATAGATAGATATATATACACATATACATATACATATTACTGATCTGGATAGTCTCCAGTTCTGAATCCTCCTGCCTCAACTCCTAAGTGCTGAGAATTTAGGCATGTGCCACCAAACACAGCTCTGATAGTTATTAAATGCTCCTCTAGGTTTTTCTTGTTCATTTTTATGACTGCTCTCTGTCTATCTCTCTGAGCTGTCTATCTCTTCTTTCTAACACTCTGTAAAAAATTGAGTTTCTCTGTTACTTAGTCTTCATGCCTAATTCCATGGTTGTAAGCATATCTTCTATTATGATGACTGCTTAAATCCATACATCCAAGCCAAGTGATGGAAAAAGATATCTGTTTCTGGATATCTTCTATTACATGCTTCAAAAACATTCATCTACAATACCATCCACTATGTCCCATTACTCCTAAGTGCTCTTGTCATTTCATGTGACCACTGTTGCAATTCAACCTAGGAGAATGAGGCAAATCACTATATCAAGCTCTTTAGCTTTTAGGGGCAGGGGAATGAAAAATGGCAGATAAGACTTATATCTTGACTTAAACTCAGGTCTAGGTGCTCTCTCTTGGCTTTTTTATTACTAATTGAACCATACCTCTGGTCTGGTATTTTCCTGATTAATTGAAGACAGAATGTTAAGGACTGGTCTGTGCTGGGTTTTTGTTTTTGTTTTTGTCAGTCTTGGGGCTCGAACTCTGGGCCTGAGTGCTGTCCCTCAGTTCTTCAGTTCAAGGTAAGCACTCTACCACCTGAGCCACAGCATCACTTCTGGTTTTCTAGTGGTTTATTGAAGATAATAATTTCATAGCCTTTTCTGCCCAGGCTGGCTTTGAACCACGATCTTTAGATCTCAGCCTCCTGAGTAGTTAGGATTACAGGTGTGAGCCACCAGCACCCTGATTGCTCTGGACTTTCTGAACCACAATTCTCAGATCTCAGCCTCCTAAATAGCTAGAATTATGGGTATAAAACTTCAGTGGCCTAGCTAACTATCAGATTCTTTATGGGATAGTTCAGTCAGCTTATAATTGATGATTGTTATACAAGTCTTTCCTTACAGACCAGGTGGATGTTTTATTTCTAGTTAACAAAAGTGCAATTCACTTGTATTTCATATAACAGACATTTATTTGAAATAATCATTGTAAACATGCATGCAGCA